TATTTTCGCCCATTGGTTTGGTTTGAACCAGTTGTTTAAATTTTCGGTTTCGTTTGCTACTGAGGTAGAAAGAAACAGACCATTGCATGGATGTTTTAATACAGGTCTTCCCTCGACAAAAGACTTAAAAGACAGCAACCGGACACCTTTCTCCTCCAAAAATAACATACGTGACTTGAAATCGCTGTTGTTATCATGGAAAACTTGTATCCTTGTTCATTTAAATGCCTGAAAAGTGTAGCTATCATGGTTTGCGTGTGGTTGCCATGGTTTTTGTTCTTTATTTTTTACTTTAGCGTAGTCTGTTATAAGTAGCTTATTTAGTTTCTCTGGCTCATTTTCCTCAATTTTGTTGCCTGTATTTTTCTCTTAGCACCGAATTTTCAATATATTTAGCCAGAAAGACAGGTTTTACTGTGTTCGGGTTATTGAATATCTTTTTAACTTTCCTATTGTTGTTTTGCATACAAAATCAAACTGTTGTTTCCTGAAAACCATGGCCATTTTCTTAAATTTGTTGTTAAAACAACTCTAATCTGATTGGTTCTTGGTCGTTTCTTTTGTGTTTTCAGCCAATCAGAAACCATTTGTAATTTGCACTCATGTGACAAGTTTGCTCTCATGTTACACAGTTTGCACAAGTCCAGTCCCATAATTGTTAGGTGTAATTATTGACACTCAGCTTAATGTTAATGAGCATATTGATAAGCTATGCAAGAAGTTAACACAGCGTATTTCTGTGTTGAAAAACATCAGGCGTCATTTACCTTTAGATCGACGAATTCTTTATTACAATGCCACAATAAAACAAACCATGATGTATGGCTCTAGTGTGTGGGTTTTTACATCCGTTGATAATATAAATAAGGTCTTTAGGGTACAGAAGCGTGCCACACGCGTTATTCTCAATGCTGATACTAGAGCAAATAGTGCAGATCTGTTTAAAGAACTTAATTGGCTACCTTTTCTTCATGAAGCTAAGATTAATCAGTGCGCATTAGTTTATAAACGTTTGAATTGGGTGTGTCCCAATTATATGCTAGAATTACTCAAACAAAACATCGACATATGTTCTACTGAAAGACAAAGTAGATATGGGTCTTTGAATTTAATTTATCCAAGGTATGAAAGAGAATCAGAAGGTGCTAGGACTTTTCAAGTATCAGCCACTAGGTTTTGGAATTCACTTCCCAATGAAATTAAGTGTAGCTCTAGTTTAGACACTTTAAAGAAGGCTTTATATCAGTCTTTTTTGGAGTCCTATAAAGATGTTCATCACTTTACTATATCTTAGGCTATTCTGCTTTATTCTCGTACATTTTATGTTAATTTTTAAATAATTCATATTTTAATTGTTAAATCACCTAGTTTTAATTACTTCGTTATTTATATGTATTTGTGTTAATTTTTAATTTGTTTTGAGGGGCATGAGTTTATCAGTATTTTATACTGTCAAGTGCCACCCTCGAAAAATGAAGTTGATTATTATTATATAACCTTAATACTGGAACTGCAGACTACACAATGTGCAATTTCTTGTAAATACAGTATCATAGAGAGAGATGAAAGCAAAACAAGAAAGGAAAAGAAAAACCGGCAAATGGATAACCAAATCTGTTGAATAAAAACAACCTTTGGTCTTTTCTCTGCTTTAGCTTGGAGTTTAGCCTAAATTCACTGAAAATTCAGAAATTTACTTGCTTCACATCCCAAGTACAGTTTTGGGTGCCATTTATGCGTGTGTTTCTAATACTGACAAAGATTATTTTTGGGGCTGAGTGGATTTGTGAGTATCAGGAGTGGGGTGCCAGTGGGTTGATGTTGGGGCATTGCTTTGCAAAAGAGAGAGTCTCAAATAGATTTTAGATTTCCAGAAGTTGACACTCTAATCCTGAAAACGGGTCTAATAATCACACATCTTGCACATAGAACTACTAGTATGTACGTGTTGTCAGGGCGAAAAAAAGAAACATTCAATAACATAGACCAGTCACTCATAAATGACAAATTCAAAGTATACATGTATGCACCTGAAGGTTTAGAAGTAGCTTCTAAGTAGACACTGCTGTGGTCAGCTTCTGTGTAGTAGACAGCATTTCCTGGCATACTGGAAGGAAGCAGGGAAGGCATTTCTTCCACAAAAAGAGAAAACTGGTTTTCCAACCTCGTATATAAAACTAGTTCAAGCCAATGCATTCTGAGCTTCTTTAGATAATCGTCCAGATTGACCATCTGCTTCTTAGGTTCATATTTTTTGGTGAAATGTACCTGAAGTAAACAAAGTAATACTATTTGACATGATGCAACACAAAATAACTGTACACATTCTAGGGCTTGACAGAAACTATGGACATTGATCGTCTGCAGCATCTTTAAACATGTGATGGTCCCATTTGCTGAATTTGCTAGTAAGAAAAGGTGGTAAACTACCCATCCGAGAAAATTTGGTAATCACGTGGCCGTACACCGTCCGACTGTCCGGCTGTCCATCTGCACCACAGGCATACCAGTGTAAAATAACTCAATCAACAGGTATGGCAACCCAAATGCAAGTCGAGGTTATAAACTGTTTCAATGCTTTGTTAATCATAACATTATTCTCTCCATGGAATTATAAAAAGTCAACCGACTTGTAGCAAACGAGGTTTCTGTAACCCTCATAGTTTAGCCAATTTTAAGATCTGAGAGGCAGTTTCCACGTGACAGGATACGTTTCGATATTGGCTTCACTATACGTCACTAAATAAACACTACAAACTTCTTTTCTTCTAAAAAAACCGTCATCCAAGTCTTGTTCTGACTCTTCTGAAAACTATAAATCACTTTCCACACTCTCCGAGCCTGCCAGGTTTGAACAACACAAAAACATGTAGCAATGAGCACACATTCTACGGCTACTGGAAAATCTTGCTGTTTAAAGAGGGTGCAGCAAAAAACGTATATGAGGTCGTACTTTTTCATGAGAAGATGGTGTGCCGTGAAACTTTGTGCTCAAGACAGTTTCTGTAAAGTGCTTTGCATTGGTAGGTTTCCGTTTTGTCCATGTTAATATTCTTGCTAAAAAACGCGGATCACCTTATATACAATCTTGGACACAACTGTTGAGAAAATTGCATACTTGGGGGGCATTTTTTCTAAACTTCGTAGCCGACTGATTCTTCCCTCCCCCCTCCCGCTGGAAGCAGTGTTGTTGGGTCTTCAAAAGAAAGCCGGATCCCTAAGCATTTGTAGGAAGCAACTTTGAACTGGGAGAGGGGGTTTTCTTTGCGCAAAGCCGTTGATTTGGAAATAGTTTTGTTGCATTATGTATTGCACATTAATAAAAACATTTTCTCAAGTAGTTTTGTCAAGGATTGTAGTGGCCACCAATGCAAGGTGAAAATGAGCGTCAGTGAAAAAAAGTAAAGAAGAAAACAGAGAGATTACTTCATGGTTGGTGTGTGCGAGCGATTTTTATTCACGTACAAGCAAACCAACCATGAAGTTATTTGTGTATTTTATAAGTACTGAGATTTCTTTCAAACAATAATGACAATTAACAGTGATAAGACAATGAAATGAGTTTTATTTACTCATACGCGCTTTAAAAATTCAACATCTTTTCAAAATTTCTAGACAATGAAATGAATTTTATTCACTTGAAAGCGTAAAAACTTCAACATTTTCTTTTCAAAATTTCAGGAAAGGGAAAAGAGGAAATTTTACAGCTAGTGATATATAACAACATATTCATATCATAGCAATGTTTTTACTCATCGTCACTGTCCTCCACTGTCACTGCTATCGAAGTGTTTGGCCTGTTTCCTTTTCCTTTCTTCTTTAACTCTTTCTGTTTGGACACAAGGACTTTTCTTGTTTCCTCAAATACAAGGTCATTCATGATACTGGCAGAGTAGCTGTTCTTTTTTAGATGTCGTTCAAAACCTGCCAATAGACTTCAGAGCAGAGAAGGCTCATAGTCTTTCCCTTCTTTGGTTCTGAGCAAAATGATAAACTCGCAGATGTCAGATGTATTCGTTTAACTCCAATGCTGTAATTTCTTCAACTTTTCTAAGTTCATTCTTGTTCCTAAAAAGGTTTGCAAAAGTTTTACATCTCGTTGTGTCTTTTCTAATGTGGCTTTGTTTTCTTGTTCTGCAATAAAATTGTCAACTAAAACTGACGTCCACAAACCTTTCCGACATCTTGAAAATAAAAAGGTGGCTTGCCAGTTTTCGCACCAAGGATGACGTGGCTTGCCATACGATCACTTTTCACTAGTGAAAAACATTGTTCATCCAATCAGACGCCGCGAATGATGATTTTTCACTAGTGAAATTTCATCGTTCGCGTCGCTGATTGGTTGAGACAAAAACAGAACGATTTTTTCATCACTGTCATCTGTGTGGATAATTCTCAGTACTTATAAACTAAATACATTTCCTCCATAAAAGGTGTAACTAAGAAGTTTCTGAAAGTTTCATGTTGTAGTCGTGCAAAACTACGGCAAAGAAATGTACTAATAAACTGAGCTGCACGTGCAAAGTTGCTTTTTTGCTAATTAAACCTATAGTTCTTTTTCCCTGTTCTCCAGTGTTGCCTTTGCTGCTTAGCATTACACGGTTTTATATTTTGTTTGAACAAACTATAAATATTATCGAGAGCTTCACTTTTAGCCCTAGCTAAATCTGTATTTAAGGTAATGCATGCATCACATCGAAGATGGTCTACACAGAGCACAAACAGTGAATCCTCATTTGTTAAAGTGGGAAGGCCTGGAAACTTATTTCAAAGTCAGTATTTCATGTAAGCTTTCGTTTCCATAGTGCATACAGGTTCCCTTTGGAGAATTGTTTCTTGCAAAATATGTGGATGGCAGACGATACACTGTCTGTCAGACGCACTTTAAAAATTTACCGTAAATGCTTGAATCAGCACTAAAAATAATACATAAGTACCCCCTTCAAATAAGCTCCCCTACCCTCCGCCAAGAAGGAAAAAAACACTCAATATACGTTATA